TCGCAGGCGCGCTGTCACGCTCTGTTGTGCAGTGTCCGCGGCACTGGAGGACCTGCTGCAGACGCAGGTGGGCGGGCCCGCCTGGGTGCGCGCGCTGGCCAAGGTGGGGTTGCTCTTCAACGCCGTGTGCCAGCTCGGGCTGCTGGTCGCCTTCGGCGTCAACCTGGACCGCGGCTCCATGGACCGCGCTGCCGTCGCGCTCTTTTTCTTCCTCGGCTTCTTCTGCATCATGTACGGCCTCTGGGTGAGTGTGGCCGCGCGGTGGCTGAACCGACTTTAGAAGAGAGTACAAGAATTCTGGAGCTTCAAAAGTATCAGGATGGTCACTGAACTCAAGGAGCCGCCCTGGATATTTGAAGCCCGGGCTCCCTATAGATGGACTCCACTGACCATCCTGATCTGATACTTTTGGAACTACATCATAATAATGCCCCCATAAAGCAGCCTTCCCACGGCCATGGTCCTGAAACCCATGGGCCTTAAAAGACCTGTTGGTACACGGGGTTGTGCGGGTTGCCTCCACTCCCGGGTCGTGAGCTTCTGACACGGGCGGGAAATATACGTGCGTGCCGTGGCACCTGGTCCTGTCCAGCCCCCCACCGTCCGGGCGCGGTCAGCTCCCCCGGCAAACTACCTTATGCATGCGCGGGCGTGCCGCACAACTAAGTTTCTTTTCTGTGACCGAGTCCTGATGTGGTCACCAGTGGGATCGTTTGCCCAGGTCAGCGACCGGACGGTCTGCGTGTCAGACGAAAGCATGGCGCGCCTTTCTTCTTATTTGTTTTGTTTTTTAAACACCTCCCGCATGGAAAAAGAAGCTAAAAAAGTGACAGGCTAAAGTGTCTTAAACGTGTAAAAAAAGTATACCTAAAATATGAAAAAAGTATGCCGAAAGTGCCAACAAAGTGTTGCAGTCCCAATCTGCTATACTTTAAGTATACTCTTCACAAAAGTATTCCCAAAAGTGTCATTTGGAGATACTTATTTACATGCGGGATAGTTCTGAGACTTTTTTTTTTGTTGTTTTTTGTCATTTTTTCGTTGCTTTTAAGCACAACGTGCAACTACTTCAAGCTTTTGAGACTGGAGTATTATTTGTTCCGCCGTATCATGTTTCTCTCTCTTTAAAAAAAAAACCGGCAAATATACATCAAGATTTTTACAGTAAAGTGTGTTATACACAAGGGGATCCGCCTGCCCCGTCTGAAAGCTGAAACGCAGCAAGAATGCGGGGAACAAGAAAGCGGGTCACCATGTGAATAAGGCATAGTGAGTGATTTCCGTTCTGTTTTTCCGCGCATTCTTCTTCTTTCCAGCTTTGCCGGAATACTTTATTGCCATATGTTGAGATCCTGCTTCCATCAGACCCGCGGCGTGTGTGACGAGGCCATGCGCCGCAGCCTGGTGCCGCTCCTGGAGGTGGCGCGGACCATCGAGACGGACGCCCTCGCGCCCGGCGGGCTCGGGGCCCTCTACGAGAGCGCGGGCCTGCGGCGGATGCGGCGGCTGGACAGCGTCATGCCGCACCTCGTCCGGATGGTGTGGTGGCAGGTGGAGATCAAACTGACTAGGAATGTAAATTCTCAACAAAATATTTGAAAAAACCAAAACAACAACTTTCATTGAATTTTAACAAGCAGGGGAAAATGGAAAAATCCTGCAAAATTGTTAAGATTCTTTTGTTTATCTTTTTTTTTGAAGCATACTAAATAAGTAAAGTAATGAATGTTTTTGAAATATTGACTAAAATATTCTAGTCGGCACACCTGAACCCTGTTTACAACCGCCGCTGTCCTCACAGGCGCCCACGGTGGCCTTTCTGCTGACGACCCTGTTCGTGGTGACGGGGCGCTACCCAGTGCCGCACTGGCCCGAGGGCAGCCACGGCCGCGACCTGGTGGAGCACGGCACTGTCGCGCTGCACTTCGTGCTCATCGTCTTCGGCGGCCGCATCTTCCTGGTGGTGTGCGGCTTGCACTGGATGAGCTCGCTGTGCATGGACTGCTGCCTGCACCTGCTCGCCGACCGGGCCGCGCGCGCCGCCTCCTGGACCGAGCTGGTTGTCGTCGTGCGCCTGCATCAGCGCCTGCAGGCGGGCTTCGTCAGCGTGCAGGTACACGACTTTTACGTCGGATTTCACTGAATGCCCGAGAATGCCCAGAACTCGCGTTAGTATGTGATAAATCGTCATGGCACTTTCTTAAGACATGTGCAAAGAATTTGCTGATTCTTAATGAGTTAGTAGATATGTAGTATGCATGCATTGCATACTACTTCGATTTCTTGCCGGACAATTTTTTTTTCAATTTTTATTTTCGTCATCTAAATCGGAAGACGTACTTTGCACTGTCTTTCCACACCCAGAGAACCATTTAGTTCACACAACTAAATCAGGGTAGTAAGAAAGAAAATTTAGTTCCTAAAACCGACTAAAATTTAGTAACCCAAGTTTTAACTAAATATAGTCGCACCAATCAAATTACGTCATGTACACTAAATTATTTCATTGCCACGGATAAATTTTGGTAGCTAAAATGTCGTCGGTTTTGAATTAGTTTTCTGGACTAAACGGTCTTCTGGGTGCACCTCTTAGGGCTTCTTCGCCGAGGACCTGTCCGTGATGGCGCGCCTGATCCTCTTCTTCGGGCTGATCGGCGCGCTTCGTATTGCGTTTGGCGTCAAGGACATCAACAACATTGTGATTCTGACCATCGTCTACTCGTACATAGTCATCGTGTGCATTGCGGGTGAGATGCAGGAGTCGGCCGGGGACGAGTTCCATCACGTCATCTGCGGCTGCCCCTGGGAGTCCTGGCGGGCCGCGGACCAGGGCAAGTTCCACCTGCTTCTGGGACGCACCGTGAAGCCGGCGCAGGTACGGTCACCAACTGCTTCACGGTAAACAAAACCTCGTTTCTTAACACTTGAATAGCTACTAGCTTCAATATAGACACTCCGATACAAAAATCTAGAAGTTGATTGTAGCGATGAGGCTATGACCGTGTGGTAACAAACTTCCAGCTGTAATGTTGTAGCCCAAAGTGAGGAATGGAATTTCGATTTTCGGAAAGCACGTCGATTCGGCGTCGAATTCGACAGTTGGTTGATTTGCGGACAAAAACAAACCAATGTCGATTTCGACCATTTAAACATCGATATTGCGCTCACTGGTGTTGTGTGTAAACTTTAAAAAAACATCAAGTGGAAACACTGTCTCAGGTTAAATTTCGATCTCACCAATCGACTTCAGCCGAATTCAGGGTATCTATTAGAGTTGTTCACTATGACATTTTGTTTTTGGCCCTTCTCTCTTGTTTTTGCCGTGCTTCCTTAATCTTTAGAGCTTTATTCTGCAGCACGCCATGAAACTGAACGTGCTTCTTAAATCGTGCAGGTGCGGTTTCGCTACTTTGGGGCCATGAAGTTGGACACGCTCTCTACCATATTCAACAACATGTTCAAGTACACGCAGGTGCTAAGTGCGAGCCTCGGCGGCAAGAAGTGGACCACGGAATAGAATTAAATAATAATTTATTTACTTTTGTAATAAAAAAAATAAAGGGGGGACTCTCAAATATTTAGCGAGTACATTCGATAATATTTACTTGACGTATCGATTTCCACTGTTAATTTTAACTGTTTTCGTATACGAACACGCTGGTCTCACGCGTTGACTGTCGTGTGAAGAGACGATAGCACGACACACGATATGTAGCTCACTCGGGCGAATAACGCCATCTAGACGGCGGAGTTTGGCGGTGTGGCGCAACCGTTACCGTTAGGGCGCGTACAGGGCCCTGTTGTTAAGGCCGTATCGGTGCCCAATCGTTTGACCGCCAGAGCTTCGCTCGGCTTTGCATGCACTTGTTTCTGGAGCGAAGGGCCTGGGCCGCGCCGCGCTTGGGCTCACTGGCACCGGCAGGGCGACGACTGCGGGCCGTGCCGCGGCCGCCACACGGCGTCCTCCCACCCAGCGCTGCCGACGTGCGCGCCGAGGCCCACCGGACCTCGGCCATCATGCTTCTGGTGAGCGTGAAACAAACAGTTTGCCGCTTCCTTTCCGTTGATTGTCGATAGGCGAGCCGCCCTGGTGTCGTGTAGCTGCAGGTGGTCCTTCTGTGGTCCCTCTCGTGCATAACGGGCGCGCAGCAGCAGGCCGCCGCGGACAGCCACGGCGATGACGCGACGACCCACCGTGAACTCTCCCTGGAGGCGTTGGAGGCCATGCCCGTGAACTGTGAGTGTCTACGAGAAAACACCCCTTGGTACACCCTGGGCTTTTTACCTCACCTTT